ACAACTTCATTAGAAAGATGCATGATGTACCTTGTTACGCTTTAGGAGAACAAGCGTGCCATCTGGCCTCTGCCATCGCACACAGATGCACTTATGCACAAATCAATGGGTAATTTATAAACAACTGCTTTGTAATTCTTCACAGAGTGTAGGAACAAAGGCATATCATAATTCCGCCGCAAAAACTGAGCATTCAAAAACAAAGCATTGGATGTTCTTAAAGAAATATTGGATTGGCAATCATTGCTCCATTGTAAATGATGGATCTGTATATCTTGCAATATGAGGGGAAATACATGTTCATCCTCGTCCTTCATCAAGACTTGCGGACGCAAGTGGCTCCCACTGTAATTAAAGTGATCTAATCCATGCAGGTAGAAAGAGAACATCTTTTTTTAAATTGCAACAGGCAGATAGGAACGTTTTTGATGGGATGATTCGCTATTTTTTCCCAGCAGCTGTTCCTCCTCAGAAATGATTGGCCTCTGTAAGGACCCATTACATTAACAGAGTAATCACATGAGTAATCACATTATTTACAACGCACTATCTGTATTCGGAGATTTACACGATTCCTCAATATTACAAAAAACGTAAAGTATTTGAATTTAATTGCATTAGATCAAAATGTCAGAGCAAGACATTTATTTTAAACAACACTAAGCACACTTTTTGTTTGGTTTGGTTTCGTAAGAGTTGTGCAGCTTAATATTTTTGTGTAAAGATTTTTAACAGTGTAAACCGTTTTTCAGGATTTGTAAATGTGCCTCATGTCCACTACTGTTCAAAAGTTTGTTTGTTTTTTAAAGAAATTCATGTTTTTATTCAGCAGCAAGGATGCATTAAAGTTATCAAAAGTGAGAATAAAGATGTCTATTTCAAATAAATGCTGCTCTTTATCACTGTTTCCACAAAAATATTAAGCAGCACAACTGTTTTCAACATTGATAATAATCAGAAATGTTTCTTTAGCAATGATTTCTGAAGGATCATGTGACACTGAAGACTAGAGTAATTCAGCTTTGATCGCAGGAATAAATTACTGTGGCGAGGGGGCGTGGTTCAGCCAGGTCTGCAACGGGAGAGAGAGTTGGGAGACGAGTGGGGAGTAAGAAGGTCAAGTGAAAATGACAAACACCTGTGTCTTGTTGGAGTAATTGGTGTGGAGAGACCGGATATAAGCTGCTGGAAAGAGAGACCAATCTGAGAGCTCGTGCTGTGAACGCTGATGAGAGCTGGAAAGCAAGAACTATTGACGACTGTGAGAACTTCTGTTGAGAGCGCAGAGACCGCGAGTTTGCGTGGGCCCTATTTTAAGGATCTAAGTGCATGGTCTAAAGCGCAGGGCGCAAGTGCATAGGGCATGTCCGAATCCAATTCTGCAATCCGAATCTACGGGACAAGCCGGATTCCACCATAGATTTATGTACACAATAATAATCTTTTACATTGTAATCCTTTTATTTGTAATATTTGTGTGCTGTTGCAGCAGAGTGTATGCGCTTTAGACCAGGTTTCAGTTGGTCAATGGCGCAGTCTATTTCAGTTGCCTCAAAATAGTTTATGATAGGGCCCCACGAGTCTCAGTAAGCCGACCCTGTCTTCTTCCTTCCTTCCTTCCTTCCTCTGAACATTGATACATTGGTGCCGAAAGCCAGGAAGGAAGAAGAACGTCGCCACCGTCATGCAAACCCGTCAGATTCACCATTTGCGGATGTCATCCATTCGCTCGCGGGACTCTATCAAGAGCAACATCAGGCGCTGGTGGACATGAGGGAGGACCAGGCACGCCGTTTCCAGGCCCTTGTCCACACGCACTGCGGGGAATCCCTCTACATTGGCCCTGCCCACTCACGTGCCTCATGAAGATGGGTCTCCAGGACGACCCGTTGACGTTCCTGGACCTCTTCGAGAGGACTGCTAAACCCACTGGCCCTGCTGTCAGAGGAGGCGCAAATAGCAGCACAGCAACCACCGGTCCAGAACCTCCTCAGGTCACTAAACATTGGGGAGGGGGGCTGACCCTTCGTGATGGCTCAATAGCTGGACCTGGCCATCCAACTGGCGGAGGACCAGATGGTTGCGTGTTCTTGGTTTCGGCACCAGTGTAACAATGTTCAGGGGAAGGAAGGAAGAAGACAGGGTCGGCTTACTGGGACTCGTGCTGTTTATTTGAAACGAAAAGCAACACAACCAAACTCCCGCTGTAAACAGAAGTGTTCAGTGACAGTCATCAATAGTTATTGCTTTCCAGCTCTCATTGGCGGTCACAGCACGAGCTCTCTCCTCGCTCACCGTTTCCCAGCAGCTTATATCCGGTTTCTCCACGCCAATTTCTGCAACAAGACACAGGTGTTTGTCATTTTTACTTGACCTTCTTACTCACCGCTCGTCTCCCAACTCTCTCTCCCGTCGCAGACCTCGCTGAACCACGCCCCCTCGCCACAATTACACTTTAAAATATTTTCAAATTTTTATTTTACATTCTTACAATATTACTGTTTTTCTGTATTTTTGATCAAATAAAGCAGCCTTGCTGAGCAGAAGAGACTTCTTTCAAAAAACATTAAAAAAAATCTTACCAACCCCAAACTTTTGAACGGTATCGCTATATTACTTTCAGATTTGTGTGTTTGTGAGCAGTCGATGGAGTGCTGCTCTGCCGTTTTAAGATGGATTAATTTCTCCGCTCTGGCAGTCCTCTGCTCTCATAGCAGACCACAAAACAGACAGAGCTTAAAGCAAAGAGGCTTTCTCAGAGTCCTGACCGCAGGCCAAACATCCAACCAAAGAGAGAGCGAGAGAGAGATTTGGGCATTATCGCTGGGCAGTTTCTCCAGTTTTGGACTGCGGTCACTGCCGAGTGCCAATAAAGAGAAGCGTTTAGGCAACTCAACAAGATCTGCTGATTCCAGCTGTTTTCTGCCTGAAGTTAAACAATAGAGGCATACTTTCTTAATTGTGGGTTGGAACCTCATTGTCTTTAGAGTTTTTTGGGGGGAATATTACACATCAAAACTTTAACACAAGGTTCAAGGTAACTTTATTATCCCCGAGGGACAATTTAGATTACAACCAGCAGTAACAAATATATTAATCACACAACAACAATAAACACAACCACAGAAAAACATCATTTAAATTCGAATTTACAGGGTATTGTTAATAATGGTGATAACAGTCGGGAGAAATGACCTTTTTTTCCTGTTTGTTCTGCATCGCGGTAGCCTGGGTAAATCCAGACAACTTCCGTCAAATTTAGATTTGCTCTGTAAGTTAGTCTGGCAAAGAGCTCATTCAAGCCCATTTCCAATCCGCCGAAATCGCGGCACCAATCAGAAACGTTGGGGCGGGCTTTACACGATGACGACAGCGCTGGGATTTTGAAGCAGATTTTGTAGCCTACATTACAAAGATGGATGCCGCCGTCGAACATCACTCTTTCGAATCAGCTATCGCGTCTGTTTTAAGCGATTTGAACGTTTCCTTTTTGTTAAAAACCGAGCAAAGAACAACACTCGGAGAACAACCGCTCTGCATACGTCATCTCCTTCATCGCTCTGATTGGGTTTAGGTCTATCAGCGACGTCCGTTGATGACGCCCCTCTGGAAATGATTTGTCTATGATGCTTTGCCACACCATAACTCAGTTACAACTGAGAATGGTCTGGTTTTAACCAGGCTAGCATCGCGGCAGACTTTATCTGCGCCCGGATGGCAGCAGCATAAATTCATCCCACAAGGGATGACTGGGGTCAGCCAGAATGGCTCTCGCCTTCTTCAAGGACCTGACCTTATACAGGTCATGTAGGTCATTTAAGGGTGTGCCAACAATTTTACTGCAAACCTTCACAATACCTTGCATGCGATTTTTCTGTTTAATAGAAAGTGACCCGTGCCAACAGATAAAAGAGAAAGTGAGAACTGATTCAATAAAACAGGAATAAAACATTTCCATAAAAACAGTGTCAACATTAAAACTGCGAAGCTTACGAAGAAAGTGCATGCGCTGATGTGCTTTTTTGCACACAGCATCAACCTGGGACTCAAAGCACAGTTTACTGTCGATTACAGTCCCTCGGGGTCTGTTCGGGGTCATCACTACTGAGGAGAGACACAATGACAGAATCATCCGCAAATTTAATAATGTGGCGCCGTTCATGATGGCTTTGGCATTCGTTTGTGTATAGAACAAATAAAAGAGGGGAGAGGACACAGCCCTGGGGAGACCCAGTAGAAGAAAGAAGTGCATCTGATAAAACACTGTTCACTCTCACCCTTTGTGACCTCACTGTTAAAAAATCCATTAGCCAGCAGATCAGTCCAGAATCAATGTTGTAAGTGTTCTTCAACCTGTCTGCTAAAATGCAGTTAAAAGCGGAGGAGAAGTCAATAAATAGTAGACAGACAAGGGTCTTGTCCCCCCTCAAGATGTTTAAAAACCATGTTTAAAAGTGTCCCTATTGCGTCGTCCACACCTCTGCCCGACCTGTAGGCGAACTGGAGAGGGTCTAACTTATCCTGTACAATGTCCAAAAGTGCATCCTTCAGTAGCCTTTCAAAAGCTTTCATGACAAGAGATGTAAGTGCCACAGTTCTTCAGAACACGACCCCGATCCCATCGGGACCTGGACTTTTCCTTTCTTTTACAGCTCGAAAGAGTTTCAAGACCATGAATTTATCAATGGGTACAATATTATTCACATAATTTAATTCAACACTTTTAAAAACAGACATCTCCTCACTAAAATCATGGATATTAAAACGATTATTAAAAAAAATGTCTGATGGCCATTTCATTCCTACAGTATGAAAGCAAAACCTGATAATCCTGAACAGCACTTGCAGGCAACTTTAAAGCTGAACACTGGGGAAAAGCATAAAGGCCAAATCGACCATAGCAGATCAATAATTCTCTCACATGTTGATTCTCAGCGTTTTCTGCCTTGTTAAACTGGTTGTAACTGGTCTGTTTTTTTGTTTATTTTTTTCTCCTCCAGGAAGTGAAATACTTCCAGTTCCCTGGAGAGCTGCTGATGAGGATGTTGAAGATGTTGATTTTGCCTCTGGTCGTGTCCAGGTAAGACTCAATAATGTTCACTATGGATAACAAGCTGATTTTATGTCTGTAGAGCACCAGTCCCCGCTTTAAAAACCATCTTAATGTGTTTTAATCAAACGCCATCTCACGACCAATTCGTACGATTTGTCTAAACCCCAGTAATGGAGTAGGTTTAGGGGCGGGGTCAGGGGTAGGTCATTCGTACGAATTCATATGAATTGGGCAACTCATAAAATATGTTCGATTTAGCAAAAAACTTATGAGTGAGGTCGTATGAAATAGCCACCTCGTAAAATTCGTACGAATTGCCGTGAGATCGGGTTGGTTTTAATATGTAGTTCTACTGTTCAAAAGTTTTGGTTTGGTAAGATTTGTTATTGTTTTTGTAAGAATTCTCTTCTGCTCACCAAGGCTGCATTTATCTAATCAAAAATACTGTAAAAACACTAATATTCTGAAATATTATTCAAATGTATTAGCCTGATGTTGTCATACTCAGACTCTAGTCAGAATGTGAGTCTGATACTGCTCCATTGGGCTGTGATTATGCGTGTTTCAACCGAACCAGGAAAGAAAATGCCTCTGAACTCAATTGGATCGACAAATGCCTTGATCGCGGTTCTCTGTTCCTCTTTTAAAATGAATGCGCTGTCTACATCTTCTATAACAGACGCGATGGCTGAATTTACACATCTCAATTCTCCAGCGCAGCCATCTTTGTTGTAAACAAATTCAACCCAAAAGCGCTCTTTGGTGACGTGGATGATTACGCTACTGTTAATCATCTGTCCATCATCGTATTAAGCCCGTCCTGACAATTTGATTGGTCCGAACAGCTTTGGTTCGAGCATAGTTGCTTCTCAACGGATCAAGTCCAGACCGAACTTCTCATCATCAAATGTTGTGGGGGGGGGCTATGTTCGGCTGGCATCCAGGCTACAAATTTATAATATCGGTTTTCTATCTGAATATATTTTAAAATGTAATTTATTCCTGTGATGCAAAGTTGAATTTTCAGCATCATTAAGAGTAGCTGGTCTAGTCCAAGCTGGTTTAGGTGGTTTCATCTGCTGGCTAGCTTAAAATGCCATTTTAAAGGTTCCAATTTTGTTTTACTGAGCCTGGGTTCTCCCAAGGTTTTTTTTTTTCCATTGGGTCATCTGATGGAGTTTTAGGACACCATCGGGTCACTTGATGGAGTTTTTCGGTTCCTTGCCACTGTTGCCTTTGGCTTGCTCAGTTGGGATAGTCAAATTAAATGACCCATCATACCACTGATCAGCTCTACCAAACTTGGATTTCTTTTTCCAGTAATAAACAAACACTGTTAAGTTGTTTTGATTGATACTGTGAAGCAGCTTTGATACAATCTGTATTGTGAAAAGCGCTATATAAATATATTTGACTTGACTTGACTTTTGGAGTCTCCTACAACAGGTTTACATGCATCAAAGGTAAAAAAAAAAAAAGGTAAAAAAAAAAAGCTTAATTTTCTCATAATATACATTTTACATCACCATATTTTTCACTGATTCTCGTCAGATGAATCAGTCTCTGTAAATCCCTCCTTTCCGCAAGCTACTCTGCTGTAATTGGCCAGATGGCCCAGTCTGTTGTGATTGGTCTACCTCTTACAACGTATTTCGGAAGCTAAACTATGGAAGTAATAAGATGCGCCACCTGAAACACAGAGACAAGGAACATTGTGCCATCGATATGAACGGTCTCGAGACTAACGTATAGCGACCAGTACAGGTCCTTCTAAAAAAATTAGCATATTGTGATAAAGCTTATTATTTTCCATAATGTAATGATAAAAATTAAACTTTCATATATTTTAGATTCATTGCACACCAACTGAAATATTTCAGGTCTTTTATTGTTTTAATACTGATGATTTTGGCATACAGCTCATGAAAACCCAAAATTCCTGTCTCAAAAAATTAGCATATTTCATCCGACCAATAAAAGAAGTGTTTTTAATACAAAAAAAAAAAGTCAACCTTCAAATAATTATGTTCAGTTATGCACTCAATAGTCAATACTTGGTCGGGAATCCTTTTGCAGAAATGACTGCTTCAATGCGGCGTGGCATGGAGGCAATCAGCCTGTGGCACTCCTGAGGTGTTATGGAGGCCCAGGATGCTTCGATAGCGGCCTTAAGCTCATCCAGAGTGTTAGGTCTTTCGTCTCTCAACTTTCTCTTCACAATATCCCACAGATTCTCTATGGGGTTCAGGTCAGGAGAGTTGGCAGGCCATTTGAGCACAGTAATACCCACGGGCGTCAGTTTGGTTTGAAATGTGGTGGGGACAGAGACGCATTCGGAAGTGCATTTTCAAAAGTGCTGGGTACAAATTCTGCAGCCTGTTTAACCCGTAAATAAATGCATCGATCCGCGAATTTTCATTTGAGTTTTTAAATGGTCTGGTGGTAGATCTTTTGCCAAGCGTGTCAGAGGTGACGGGTTCTAATCCGCCCTCGGTATAGTTTTTTTTTCTCTCAAAACTGAATAATGTTCATCAGTGGTTACAGTCTATATCAAGCAGCCAGGGACACGTTTGTGTGCATTTTATTTTGTAATTTCACCGGAATGAATATATACAGAGTCTCTCCGCAACGGCGATAGATTGAAGTGCGCGTCCGAGTGAAGACTGTGCGCGAGCCACAGAGAACACTGTATCCACGACACTGATAGCAGCGGACACGAGCGCTCAGCTTGAGTTAAAAAACAAAACATTTTAGCTAGATCTCTTATTTAAGAGCGAACTAAATGAATGCTCTGCTAGTTAACTGGAGATGTTTTATTTGTATTAGGTACATCCGACCGTGCCTCAATGTTTCCAAGAGTGGTGGGTACAAAATGACTCATGACGAAATCTGGTGGGGACGCGTACCCACCGTCCCCACCGAAATCGACGCCTATGGTAATACCATGGTCAGTAAACCATTTACCAGTGGTTTTGGCACTGTGAGCAGGTGCCAGGTCGTGCTGAAAAATGAAATCTTCATCTCCATAAAGCTTTTCAGCAGATGGAAGCATGAAGTGCTCCAAAATCTCCTGATAGCTGCATTGACCCTGCCCTTGATAAAACACAGTGCACCAACACCAGCAGCTGACATGGCACCCCAGACCATCACTGACTGTGGGTACTTGACACTGGACTTCAGGCATTTTGGCATTTCCTTCTCCCCAGTCTTCCTCCAGACTCTGGCACCTTGATTTCCGAATGAGATGCAAAACTGAGCAACAGTCCAGTGCTGCTTCTCTGTAGCCCAGGTCAAGCGCTTCTGCCGCTGTTTCTGGTTCAAAAGTGGCTTGACCTGGGGAATGCGGCACCTGTAGCCCATTTCCTGCACACGCCTGTGCACGGTGGCTCTGGATGTTTCTACTCCAGACTCAGTCCAGTGCTTCCGCAGGTCCCCCAAGATCTAGAATCAGTCCTTCTCCACAATCTTCCTCAGGGTCCTGTCACCTCTTCTCGTTGTGCAGCGTTTTTTGCCACACTTTTTCCTTCCCACAGACTTCCCACTGAGGTGCCTTGATACAGCACTCTGGGAACAGCCTATTTGTTCAGAAATTTCTTTCTGTCTTACCCTCTTGCTTGAGGGTGTCAATGATCGCCTTCTGGACAGCAGTCAGGTCGGCAGTCTTACCCATGATTGCGGTTTTGATTAATGAAACAGGCTGGGAGTTTTTAAAAGCCTCAGGAATCTTTTGCAGGTGTTTAGAGTTAATTAGTTGATTCAGATGATTAGGTTAATAGCTCGTTTAGAGACCCTTTTCATGATTTGCTAATTTATTGAGACAGGAATTTTGGGTTTTCATGAGCTGTATGCCAAAATCATCAGTATTAAAACAATAAAAGACCTGAAATATTTCAGTTGGTGTGCAATGAATCTAAAATATATGAAAGTTTAATTTTTATCATTACATTATGGAAAATAATGAACTTTATCACAATTTGCTAATTTTTTGAGAAGGACCTGTAATAACGTGAGTTAGCCGGTTAATGGGAAACTTACACAATATAAAACACAAAACAATGTATTTTGAACACCTGGTAGAAAATACATCAATAATTGTTCATACTTACAGATTCTTAAGACTAAGCTGGTCCAAATAAACTGGGTACCAGCCCATCTTTCAAGAGCAAGCGTTTTGCGAATCCCGCATTGAACTCCAAAATTTAAGAAGCAGTCGTCAGTAAAATGACGTTTGAGGGCTGGTAAAGTTGTTCGCGGGTGGACGATGTACAACACACGCGGCATTATGCAAATGCATTTTCTAGTGACGTAGAACGTCACACAGTGGAATTCGAACAACAAACGACTCGTTACGGCGGTTCAGAGTCAATTCTTTCTTTTGGGTGACGATGACTTTATGTATTGTGCACTTTCTACTCACGCTTACATTCACAAACAGATATATTACACACTGCATGAAAGGGAATATTCGAAAAACCATAATAGGGACACTTTAAGATGCTCAAGCTGTTTTTTATTTTTTAATTTTTTTTATTTGGTTGTTAATTGGTAGTTCAAGACATTGCTGCTGGTGCCGACCAGAGTTCAACCACCTAAACTAGCTGGAGCCAGGTAGAAACCATGTTCCAAACGTTCATCATCTTAGTTTTACCTGGATTTTTTTGAAGTTATGGACTGGAGCTTTCATCATTATGAATATTAAACCCAGCAATCCTGGCTTCCATCTCACATGCCCGTCATCAGCTCATTTTAATAAACCTATTTTCTTAATTATTAACAAATTAGCCCAGCTGTACTAAATTAAGAGCCATTCTTGATTTATCCATATGCATCATATATGTTTAGGTATTTAGCAGTGACATTGTCAGGCATTTTTAATATCTTATTTTAACAAAATAAGATAATTGCCTGCACAAAATATGAAAGCATTGTAATCTAACAATATAATATGCAACAAAGTTTACACTGGCTTCATAAACTAATTTAAAAAAGTAAAAGAGCAAAACACACCTGCTGCACATTCACTGTTA